GGGCTGAATGTAGCTTGCGTTAACAATGCAAGAGGCCTTGCCATAAAAGAAAGTGCAATTCCATGTGGCTTGCACTAAGCAAGCAGTATTGTCAAGATGCGCAGCTCATCAACAGAAATTAAAAAATATTTGAAATGAAACAAATGAAATGAAAACAAGATTGAAATAAAATTAAAGCAAGCAGCAATTAACGGGTACTTTGCATTATCAAGTTGAGTTGCAGTCATGTTATGTCCCAGGACATCATGTGGAGACCACACTGTGAAAATGTAATGTAAACCAGATTGTAAATGCCATACAAGGCTTACATCTTGTTTCTAGTAGGGGTCGCTATGACTAAGATTGAATAATGTAGATGTGTTCAGGCTGGGACTCTTATCAAACGAGAAGTTTGGTGTAGAATGGACAATGTGACATACTGACGAAAACTAAAGAACTAACTAACTAAGTCCTTTGATTGCACTGAAAAAAATTTAAGTCGATCCAATTAATTCTGTAGTACAATGACTGTAAATAGCCAAAACTGTGGGACATAATGCACGTGTTTACTAATTTTCATTCATATCAGTAAAACATCCCATTGAGACTGCTCTTTAGGGGGCCTTATTGAGCCATTTTGCCACACCCATGTCTAAGATTACATACATTTTTGCCACCCTCAGACATAGGTGCTGCGTTTCATGTGTTTTGCAGCGTGTTTAGGCCACCAAAAATACAATGAATTTATTTGAATAATAATAATGATAATCGGGGCCTTTGCGGTGGTCGCTGCTCGGACCCTAATAATCTTTAAACCTATAAAAATGAGAACTATGCAATGATATGAAATGTAATAAAGTTTTTGTTAATTAATAAAAGTTAAATAATTATGTGAAAGATGGACAAATGCACAAGTTTTCAACGTACTACACATATCTGCAGAATCACACATCGTAGCTCCTGATTATTAAAACAGTATCCTTGTATTTAGTAGCATCTAAACTAGACTAAAACTTTACTGATACTAATATAGATTTATGTCAAAACACGAAGACTAAAACAAAAGCAAAATCAGATGCCAAAATTAACTGTCTCACCTAGAACATTTCCTTTCATGTAGCCTAATATTAAAGCACATTAACTGTCTATGTAATTGGGTCTTAACTGCCAGTAATTCAGCAGCAGTGGTGTCACTGGAGGCTAAATCGGTGGGTGTTTTTTCCTGGAGAGCTGTCATAGCCATGAAATAATCCAGAGTTCGGCCAAACGAGTGGCACCAACGGATTAGCACAGGTTTAGGCGGCTTTCTATAAACGAGGAGATACATGAACCCCGGTGACACTCTCGGCATTACACTCTGCTTTGTGAGGACCACAACAGCTGAAGTTAGACATGAGTGAGACATGATGATTAGTTGAGATTTTCCTCTATGTACTTTTAAAGAAGTGTATCTTTGGTTGTGTGTGTGTGAGTGTGTGTGTTTGTGTGTCTTTTCGGGACAATGGGGCATGGAGGGGGGGGGGGTAATATCCCCAGCCTTCGCTGCCTTTCTTTCCTCTCCAATTTATTACCTTGGCTAGTTGATCTGATGGTGTAATAATATCTCCTGCCTCTGGCTACGGGAAATGGCCACATGCATTATTCACACATGCTAAGATGCTTATTGATGACTCCTTTATTTATATATTTCCTCAATGCCAGAGTCATTTCTCATGTTTTTAACCCCTTCGTTGTAATCCTCTATTTTGACATGAGCCTTGTCTAATGAGTCTCACTCACTCAGATAGGCTGTTTGAGGAGAATTTAGTTCAAGCTTTTGGCACCAGATACGTCATTGTGGAACTAAGGATAAAAATACATATAGGTGGAGCCCCATTTATTCAATCTACTTTATCTGATGTTGAAGCTCATGGCTGCTCATTTTGTCACACAAATGCTGAAAGAACATGCACAGAAAATGAAACTTCTTTGAGAAAACTAACGTGGGGTTGCATCAGGGCTGTAGGGCAAGTCTAGTCTAATATGTGTACATTCTCCAGCTATTTGATTCCTTTTCATTCATGCAGGCATTGTAAATAGGGCATATTCGCTTTTATGTCGGTGCATGCCATAGTTCAGTGCTACTGGGTATTCAGCTGCCTTTTTCTCTGAACTCACATTTCCCCTCTGCTTCGAACTGTGGCCTCTGAAACAGCAATAGGAAATCCATGGTGAGCTATGTTTCTGACCCAAAACTGGTACTTTCAGTGTGTCAGTTTGTGTTTTTTTATTTTCTTTTTTTTAATGTTTGCTGTCTAGCCATTTTTTGCTTCGCTTCACCTTCCATCCCCCTACACACAGGCTGTATTATACTGGTGGAGTTTGTGTTGAGTTAACTTGAAATATGTAATATGCAATAGAGTTGCTACGATTTTTAAAACGCATTCATGGTTTGTATGCTTTAGAAGTGCATAAATACAGTACGGTTAGCTGTTGACTCTCACCCAAAGTGGGTCCTTACGCAGTTAGATATCAAATCTGTTTTTTCTTTTGGAGGTTCATGCTGCTTTCCCCCAAAATTCAAGCCTTTAGCATGAATCACTAATATAAAAAAAGTAAGACCCAGGTTGAAAAATACCCTTTAAAATAAACAAGCTTAACATTCTTGAAGGAATTTGTATTTTATATGGAGGTCAACCTGCATTATTTGCATGCAGGAAACGCCACCTATTATCCTAGCAACTGGGATTTAGTGGTGCAATAGAGAGAAATTTGTAGGAGAGGTCAGGGAGTGAGTAAGAATAGGCGATGCAGAAGACTAATTTTGCCACTCCATATTTAATGCACTGGTAATGGTAGCCCTTTCTTCTGTATACTCTGTCCTTACCACATTCTTCCTGCCAGATACATTGGGCTGTCCTGGCCTCTCTTGTCCGCACACTCACACACACACACTGCTCAAAATATCAGCTTAGGGCTGAAAAAGTAGTTCACCACAGATGTGACCGGCCCAAATAGGAGAAGAGAGCATGACACATAAGCAATCAATGTTTGACCAAGGGAGTATTTTTACTTTATTCTTTTTCTTCCTTCCCCTCTCACTTTTTTCCGCCTTTTTTGAGCCCATTTCTCTTCAAACCACTAGCTTGGCAGTATTAGTAATTGCTGCTTTATCCCTGTTAGATATCATCTTGGATGTTCAGTGCGTTTTGGATTATTTTTTGATAAATAGCTGTGAATTGCTTTTCTAGTATAGCTTACCCTCTTTCAACCTGACTCATGTTCTGTTTCAGTTTATAATTTCTTTTAGTTTCCAGAAAGTCCTGAGAGAAAAATGCCTGAATTTGTTTCATCCACTACATGTAGGTAGTAACTAGTTGGCTGATACTAATGGGCTTAAAATTTGTACAGTCAAGTACAGGACTTGAGGTCTATCCATTGTCAGAGAAACACATCACATTTTATACTTGATTATACTTTTTAAAGTGTTATTTTGGTGTGTTCACATGCTACTGGGAAACTCTGTCATCCAATGCTACCAAACAGCAACCATTTAATGCAGGGTCCTACCACTTACAGCTCTTTCACATCGTTCATCATTGTTGCTGTTTGTCTTTGTGGCTATATTTTCTAGCAAAATAGTTTATGGATGTGTTTGGCAACTGACTGTAAAGTCTTAGATGTTAGTGTTTCCCACCAGCACATGAACACAAAAAGTCTCAACAGGCCACATCAGCCCAGCAACACAGAGCAGGGCGTTCTGTTTTTGACTCAAACCAAAGGCCTCTGAATACCAATATGACCTTAACTATGATATACAGTACTCAGCTCAGAAGTCAATCGGTGTTATATTCCTAAGCCTACATGTTTTCTTTTACTTTATGAATAACAGCGCTACTTGAGAAACACAGGGGTTACTAATAAAACAAAGTTGCCTGTTACTTTATATAGAAATCATATCAGTGCTTTATGTCAGCATATTCATAAGAAAACATTACATCTGAGTGTGGGGGACCTGGAAGTGATGTAACCACATGTGGGATGTAGGTTTGAGGGCACTTACTGTAAGTGTAGCAGCTGTAGGAGTTTTGGGGGGCAGTCTGTTCTTTCAGCATCCTGATGTGAGCAGAGAGGTCAGAAAGTGTTTGGATGAGTGCAGGAGCACGCAGGAATGTGTACGAAAGAAAAAATGGGAAAATATGTTCTTTCTCTGTCTCTCTCTATTTCTCTTTTTGTCTCCCTCGTGACCTCATCTAGTCCTTATCTCTCTGGTCTTACCTGGCAACCTGCCAGGTGATGCTGGAACCATCTCGCCAGCTGATTTGCTGTTTCCAATCTCACCAGGGATGGGCAGATCGATAACTGACTAGTCAATACTTTGATACTCAAACGCTTGTTCATTTGTTATTGATGCCCATTAAAAAGTTAGTGTTCCCTTTCACCACCAGGCTATGTTGGTTTTTTTAAGAAAGGTATCTGTTGCAGATGTTCTGTGAAATGTATTATAGAGATTATGTGTGAATAGTTGATGTTGATAGATTTATTCTTTTATTTTCCACTTTGTTGCTTGTAATAATCCTTTTGTTTAAGTTCATGTTGTATTATTTTTTAAATGAGTTACTACAGTGTCACTATAGGTTTAAAAACAAACAGCATGATATTGTTGCATAAAATACTTTTCTTGTCACTTTTCTTGGACAAACATACACATCTTCCTTTATTTTTATTTCTCTGCTTCTTGATCTCTCTTCATCACTGTCTTCCTTTGAAACGAGCTGTCTGCGTCTGAATGCGCAAGCTTTACTGTTAGCGATATGGTGTTTGATTTGATTTTCCAGCTGACAGCCTGGCAGTCACTGTGAGGGCTACCGTTAGAAGATGTGCAAGAGAATGACTGGGAAACATGTTTGAGTGAAGCTGTGTATGAATGCAAATGTGTGCCTGAGTGTATTAACCTCGGTGTGTGTGTGTGTGTGTGTGTGTGTGTGTGAGTGAGCGCGTTAAGCCCTGCTCCACTGACACTCTTCCCTCCTTCTCCACAGAGAGAAGTGCCTTCTTTCGCTGACCCCTTTGGCTGTTTGGCTCCACTGAAGCCGCTTCTGCCTCCGTGCCTGTCCATGTCTGCTGGAGTTGCCAGCCACACCAGAAGCCCCAGGACTGCCAGGACTGCCAACGCCATCCACTGACACCTCCCTCCTTCTCTCCATCTCCTGCTCTGTCCGCCAGTCAGGCCTCTCTCTCCATCCATGCCATTCAGCCCTCCTCCGTGGAAGTCAACCATTCCTTCCTCCTCTGCAGACAGACCCTGATACCGAAGACAGATAACTTTTATTGGCTCCTGTGAGCGGAAGGAGATTGTCTCTTAGCTGTCTCCTCCACCACAGCCTTCCCCTCATCATCCTGCCCTCCTTCTGTTCCTCTTTCTTCTCCTTCCTCCTCTCCTCCAGCCCTGCATCTTTTCATCATGGGCCAACTCGATCGATAATGTGTTTTGCCGTTTGTCTCATCTGACAGTTCAGCCTAGGAGCGAGGCGATAGAGAGCGAACTGCCGTGTGTGTTTGTTTGAAAGAGAAGGGACGAAAGAGAGAGATTACAGAGCAAACCTCTGTGGTCGTCATCAGCCCAGGCCCTGGGTGACAGGCGGTGAACGATTCCTATTACAGCCACAAACAGACTCTTAGGATGGGCCGCAGGTGGTAGCCGAGTCCCAGGCCTCACAGGCTTCATCTCAGAATCAGACCCTGGTGACAAAACCTCTTAAAACTGGCCTTTTCCCATGTCCTTTAATTGTTTCTCATCATTCAGACGCACACATAATAGCAGCTGCTGGATACCTATTCCTCTCAATCGACCCCTCCTGCCTGGTTCAAAATGGCGGTGAATGTAACACCGATCCGGGACACAAAGTGGCTGACATTGGAGGTTTGTCGGGAATTCCAGAGAGGAACATGTTCACGACCGGACAGTGAGTGCAAGTTCGCACACCCTGCCAAGAGCTGTCAAGTGGAAAACGGCAGAGTCATTGCCTGTTTTGACTCACTCAAGGTGAGTATGACAAACACCTGTGATGTTCATTCATCACTGCCCTGTCCCTCTGTTTTTTTTCTAGCTTGCAGTGTTGACGAGCATTTTCTTCTAGGTGTTTTATGTTTTATTTTGGGGCTTTTATGGATTCCAGAACTTGATAGACCTAAAGAGAAGTTGTAGTTTGTGATTTAGGGTTTGATGCAGAGGAGATCGGGGGCTTCTTTTTGGTGAACAGTCTGTAGTGAGGTGCCAGGGAACAGCAGTGATTTTGCTGCAAAGTGAGATATTGTTTCTTAAGGTTAAGCCACAGCAAGGGGATAAAAACATATCTGTATAAATACTTCTTAGAGTGTGTGTGTGTGTCTTGGTAAGCTGAGATGAGGCAGTAATCACATTAACATCTGTGAATCAGACTCAGAGTTTCCTTCACTGGCACATAACTTTTGCGCAGGACTGTCGGTTGGCACACTGCGAAAGTTTCTGTGTGATCGTCACATCAACAGGCTGAATGGGAAATATAGAAGTAGGGCAGCACACTGTGTATTTCATGTTTGTATGTGAGTCTGTGAGTGTATGCCTGTGTGTTATTTTGAGGTCACACAGCACAGTGGGGTGTTCTCAGAAGGCTCTGTAATTTACTGTCTATTTTTGCCCTGGCAGTGGGACAACACACTCCCACTATGCAGTTTCTCTCTCTCGCTCTCTTTCTCTCTGTCTTAGTCAGGAGGGAGGGGGGGCAATCAAACGGGAGAGAAGATGGACTGAGGAAAGGGAAAATAGAATGGACTGAGTAGAAAATAATATATTAAGGGAATCATTACAAGACGCTGCATATCAACTGTGGCAAGAAATGTTTACCTGATGGTCAAAACAGCTGGTCAGAATGTCTATAGTGTCAAGAGAGTGTAAACAAAGTGCTTAAATTTGGTTTATACTAATTCTTAGTGACTTAGTTGACTTAGTACTTACTTACATTTTACATTTTATAATTTCTCCTACAAATTGAGTTCATATATTACTGTACAAGAATGTAGGCACTTCCTGGAGTGGACAGAACATTGCCAGTGATCATAATTTTGGCAGTAATTACGACTCGATGAAAATGCACTGAGCAAACAGAAATGGTTGGAAGGTAGTTAGGGTGGATGACGAGTGCCAAAAGAGAAGAATTTAAATACCAGAGGCCTGGGTTTGAGTCCTGAGATCCATGTGTGGCTAGGTTTAAGCAACAAAAACACCTCAGTCAAGGAGGTTTGAGCTTGTGAAGCTGTTAGTTATGTCCGTTATAATGTTTGCCATTATCAACATCTGCGTTGCCACACAAATTTGCCAATGAGGACTAAACACAAAGTACAGTTGAGGCTGATGGGAATGTCAATATTCCTGCAGGTATTTGGTCATAAAACCTGATGATTGTGCTAAATGAAAAGTTAAGTTGGGACTTGGATGTTAATCCAATAGACATTTCACTTAAAACCACAAATTGTAGCCTTGTGGTGATGTTTGGGAAAAGGCCGGGGATCACCAAATACAAAGGATTCATCCTCTTGGGGCCATAAATGTGTGTACAAAATTTCGTTGCAAATCATCCAATAGCTGAGATATTTCAGTCTGGACCAAAGTGGTGTGTTAGGCTTAGGGTGACCAACATTTCCCTCCCTAGAACCATGCTGCTATGGCGAGGCTAAAAAGTAAACATCCTGTCTTATGCTTCAAGTGGGCTTTATAACTTGTCATTATAAAGTATAACCAAGAACCTTTTCCCTAACCTTAACCAACATAAAGATAAAGTCATTAATCATGCTTTAGTTGCCATAAGCTAATATTGTAATTTTTTGCAGATATGTTCAGTATGAACCATATGATAACAAATTTAAAGCAATAAAAAATAGGCTATAAGCAACACGTAATCCCTTAAATTGCAAACATACGGTACACAGTTCACAGTTGTGGACACCCATACACTGTGAGAGCACATCTAGTGACACTTTTAATTTACGAACAGCACTGAGAATCTGTAAAGGGTCAGCTGTGGCAGCATGTGTCATGGCTGAGAGCCAAGTATAAACACTGGCCCTCTGTAATATAGTATGTTGTATATGAAGACAAGTACATGTGCATGTACATATGCAGAATACATACACAACAGATGTCACACGAACCTCACACTGTGGCATTTCTGCTTGCTGTCTCATTACTCCAGATGCTGCAAATGTGTTGGATACAGGAATATCAGTCAAGTCAATCTGGGTATTTTGGCTCAAGTTAGCACAGTGATTTTGGATCCTAGTGTTCTGTCTACCGTGTTGTGCACATGTACTGTAATTTGTCTCCTATCTGATTGGCAAGCAGGGTGTTATTCAGTGAAACTGGAGACCATAGCTGGAAGTCAGTCAAGCCATGTCCAGGCCACAGCTTACCTTAGTTTATAACTGGGGAGGGGAGGGTGGGGGCTTTCATTAAGCCATGCACAGTGTTATTACAGTTCTGGGCTGCTTGGTTGACGCTCCGATGGCTTGGGTGGGTTTGGCCGGTATAGGTGAGACAGGAAATGGTGAAGAGGGGCTGCTGGGGCATTGCATGGATCATGAAAACAGACTGGGAGACTGAGCCGGAGAGGGCAAGAGCAGGCGCAGAAGGGAATGTGCGGGGAAGCGTAGCACTATGCTCAGAGCCCTTCCCTGCTCTCAGTGCCAGGGCATTCCACAGTCTACCTCCCTTCCCTGCCTCTATGACAGAATGATAGATCTGCTTTATCTGCAGATGAATTCATAACACACAGCTAGGCATGGAGAGAGGGGCAAGGGGATAGGGAAGGACAGGCAGGAGGATGTGGAGAGGATGGATGTCGGTACACGTGGCTTCGCGCTCCTGGACAGTTTGCCATACCACCCGCCCTTCATTCCTTTTACAAATGCAGGCCGGGCAAAGGAAGGGAGGGCCTGTAGCTGGTGAAAAAGGAAGACATATGAGTAGCCCTCTCTTTGCTTTTTCCACCTCTCTCTTTGTATTCAAATAGTCGTTCTCAGATTTAACAAATTAACTTTGTTCTGTATTTTCTTTCATTCTTAAATCACAGTTTCTTGCTAGTTGCCAGGCTTGCCAGTTGGTTTGTACATGTAGATATCTTAATCTGTTTTGTTTGTCAGCTGTGAATAGTGGAAAGTTCCATTTGATGGGTGGCGTAACAGAAGATAGAGTGATAAAGGCGAACAGGAAATGAGTCAGAGGCAAAAGACTTTAGACTAGGATTGGCTGATATTACAGAGAGACTGACCCTCTCAGTCTCTAATCACAGAAAAGTAACCCTGACAGAAATCTGAGGAAACTGCATGCATGGGTATACAGCACAACTTCAAAATGATGACAGCACACTTAGTCTTACAGCATAATTTCTGTTTGATCTGCATTGCTTGCTCGTTCAAATGCTATATTTGTGTTTTCCTGACAGCCAACTTTTAGCCATCTAAAGGTGTTCAGACAAAATTCAAACCTCATGTTATTTGTGGGAAAACCTTAGCCCGAGAGTTTTTGAAGGCACAGACAAAAAAAATTTGGACTTGTCTATAATTAGAGAAAATACAAAAAACGGGTATTTGCTTGTCCTTTTGGCTCCTGCTACAGGAATTCAGCCGCTTGTTGCCATTAGCAGCTGGAAACAAAGCTGGTTTCATTGTAAGAGAATAAAAAGCAAATCTGGGGGTATTTAGGCTGACGAAATACAATAAACTCACCATTGGGCTGTGATGGGAAACAGGTGAGAGTGAGCCAAAGAGCCACGGGAGCTCCACTACAGTATGATGGACTAGCTACTGATGACCATGAAATTGTCTCAGTGGGTTAAATTTCCATGTAATTTCTTCTCATTAAGACGTTCATCCTTTCTATTGACATTTGAATGCTTTTTCTCTGGTGGGAAATCTTGCCATTATCGGAATCCACTGTAACTGTCCAGAGCAGCTGTTCTCAATGAAAGAATAAATATTAAAAATGTAATACTAACAAGATTTTGACTGGACTATTGGGTGGGGGTCTTAAAGTGTTAAAATGGTCATTTGTTAATTAGAATATATCAAATCAGGAATGCATAGGAAGATATTTGATTTAAGTTTCAGGGAGCGGTTGTTCTAATCACAGTTTTCCTATTTACAACAATTTTTATTTCTGTGCTGATTATTATATTTTAGCCTTTAATATAGATTGTTACTGGGTGTTAACATGCAGTGTAACAAAGCCACTCAGGGTTTGCCAATTTACTTTTTTGCTTGTTTCAAAGAAAACAACATTAAATGAAAAACTTCAAAGTGGTCATGGATATAAATGTTCTGTGACTATAAATACTGTGAATGCATATTCTCTCTCACTCTCCTATTTTTGTCTGTTGGAGAAGGGAGATTTAAAAGGAAATTTAAAAAAAGTTTACGTTTAAATTTTTTTGCATGGTTTTAACTATTTATTTTAATTTTTCACATAAAGAAATATTCAACCCGTGTCCTCCAACCAATATTCAGGAACATGTTCTGCCTAAATTAGCACAATGTTTTACAATGCAAATACAAAGTGATAACAAAAAAGTTCCCACTACTACTAGACTTTGATGTTTGATATTCAACATTTTGTAGAAGGGATTTGTAATGTGGGTGGTGCGCTTTTATTATTTACTATTGAACAAAGCCTTACCCAAACTTTAACCTCCTCCTTATTCTTTTAGTTTTTGCTGCTTACAACTCTAATGTTGAGATAACTTACCCTGTAAGTCATTATACTGTAATTTAACTTGTGTTGTCGTTCACAGTGGAGGAATGTAATATTCCCACAATCTCTCTCCCACAGTGTATTCTGTAATGTTCATTGAATTTATGAGTTACTTAGTGCCTGGACTCCACATGATCATCTGATGTATGATAGTTATACAAAATCCCAGGATAATTTAATGTTGGAATTCACAATCACAGAAAATACTCACACGCATTCATCTTGTCGAAGTTAAAGAAATGAGAGTGAGAAATAAAAAGCGG